CCCAATTGCATGAACACAGACAAGGGCATCCAATTTATTCTCGTCCCCAAATCACAAAGAGCACGACGCACATTAATATTACCAATCCGCACATGGATGGTGAAGCTATCAGGGTCCTTAAGCTTTTGAGGGAGCTTGTTTTGGACCCTCGAAGTGCACTCCTCAGTATGTGCAACTATCTCTAATTTAGTCAATCTCCTCTTGTGAGACACTATATCTTTGATGTACTTAGCATATTTTGGAATTTCGCGAAGTACATCCACCAATAGAATATTTAATTGAACCTAGCTAAACATAGAGAGACATTTTTTGAACATTTTTCTTCTGTAATCTTTGGGGGAATGGTGGTGGTGGCCTTGTATCATTCACTGGCTCTGAATTTGCATCATCTTTCTTTGAGACGTGTGTTGCCTTAGGGATCAACTCCCCCTCAGGTATAGGCTTATCCATTCTTTTCTTTGGCGCTTCTTCTAATTCCCTCCCGTTTCTGAGTGTGACTGCATTAACTTGAGGGTTCTTCTCTAGATCACTAGGAAGAGCGCCCGCAGACCTAGTATTTTGATTTGACGCTAACTGCCCCATTTCTCTCTCAAGATTTCTAAAATCGGTCCTGAGTTGTTGATTGTCAAGCAACAATTTCTTCAACAAGTCGTTCGTACTCTCATTTACTTGCTGGGGTGGCTTCTGAGGTTTATTAAAAAATTTCTTGGGCCTATGATGATTATGAGTCGTCTGATTTCTACCCTAGGAAAAATTAGGATGATTCTTCCAATTTGGGTTGTATGTATTCCCATATGCATGCTAATTTATTGGACCTCTGCTCTGTTGCCCCACATAATAGATAGATTTTGGATTTGTAGGGAACATGTCACTCGTGTGACTATCACCACATAATTCGCAGCAAGTAGACATCTATTATACATGTTGCATCTGTTGTGTTTAGTTCATTGTCATTCTATTCATCTGATTTGCCAATTTTGCTATATCTGATCTTATAGCTGAGAAGTCATCAAGATCAATTACACCGACTGCTTTCTGTTTAAGTGCTCTCTGTGATTCCTCATCCCTTTGCCAATTATTATCATTAGCAATGAAATTGTTTAGTAGGAGTTGGATTTCACTATACGGCCTTGCCATACAACTTCCTCCATAAGTTTAGTCAAGATTCATCTTTGATGTCTCGTGACCCAACACCTCATCAATCTGATAGTGATATAGGTAGTCTCTGAGTAACTTCTTGTATCTTTTCCAAGCTTGATAAAGAGTCTCGCCATCCCGTTGTTGGAACCCAAGAATCTGGCTCCTCAACAACTTTGTCTCCTTAGTGGGAAAAAACTTGATTAAGAATTTTCTTGCTAGATCATCCCAAGTGTGGATCGAGTTCGCGGGCTCCTTTTGCAACCATTCTTTAGCTTTCCCCAGCAGTGAAAAGGGGAACAATGTTATCCTGATGTAGTCCTTGGAAATGTTCGGATAATTGTAAGTATCCGTAGTTTCCAGGAAGTTCTAAATGTGCCTCTGCGGGTCTTCATGAGATGACCCACATATTGCCTAGTAGACTAAATCAGCTATACCATGTGCTATTTAATTTCAAAGTGACCCGTGATATCAGGCTTCACTATAGCCCGAGTCACGTTAGCAAGATTGAGCCTTGCATTTTCTATCACCGGACGCTCTTCATTACTTGCCATCTCCAGTGGTTGTGGTTGAACTACAATGTCCAATTCTCTTTTTATTGTAGTTCTAGCTTCGACTTCCCTCCTCACCCTGCAAAGTGTTCGTTCTATTTCAGGATCAAGAGGAAGGAGGTTGTTTGCGCTTCTACTCCTCCGCATTCAGGAGAAGAGCCTGCGTTAATACAAATAAGGCAAACTGAAAATTAAAACTTGAACAAATAAATAATAAAAGCTTAAATAAGATAAGTAGCTAATTTCTAAGTCCCCGACAACGGAGCCAAAACCTTGTTGTGACAAAACACACACACACGCAAGTATACGTGATCATTAAGTAATAAAATAGTGAGTAGAGTATCGTTCCCACGGAGACTTATGGTTAACTTTTGACTGATTCAAAGTCAAAAAACTTATCGATTCAAGAGATTTTTTTCACAAAATGTGTAAGTGAGTAATTAACTACCAAAAAAACTATCAAGCAATGAAATAACTAGAGATCGACTACAACACGTAGGCAATTTCGGATAATAATCAGTAGGAGAGGATATTCCAGGGTCATAGGCTAGCTAACAATCTTGTTGCGTTCTTGGCTTAAACTGACTAATTGATTTATCTGGTTTGTTGATTGACAGGGTTGATGTTACTCGTAAGAATCTGTGGAGTTCTTAATCGTATATTCAAGCTAACTTAATACATATATGTCTATGGAATTAAGACTAACAAGAACGCATTTACACTTCCTGTATCTCAACCAAGCAAGACAATTAGGTATATTTCTATCATAATTGCTAATCCATTCCTCGATGTCCGGGCAAGAACTTGCTCTATTTAATCCTCTATGCAATTTAGAATTCTCACTTTCGAGTTCAACTCTAGATTCGTAAGTAATATTTCACTGCTAGCTATGCAGCAAAATAACTAAGAACATAATTAAATAAAGAACCCAATATGATAAAATCAAACTCGTCAATTTAAACTTCAAATGTCACCATTTATTTAGCACCCATGATCCAGAATAATAAGGTTCTTAGCCACTCATATTCATACAATCATAAAAAATAATGTTTTCCCACATAAAATCAATGAATACTAGAAGAAGAAGAAGAATGGAAGAATTGATCCAATCCGTGCTCCCGAGTGTTTCATACTTTTGTTCCTCTCTCTAAGTAGCGTCCTCCTTGCCAAAATAGGTTTAGGTTGGCTTTTATATGAGTTGGGCCATCTTGGGGTCGAAATAACCGAGTCCCAGTCGAAATAGGACAACTTCTCGTCGCCAGCGCCCATGGCAGCTTGGGGCGCTAGCCCTGGCACTGGGTTTTTTGACCATTTTGTTTTGTTCGCCACAGGGAGCGCCCCACGCTGCCTGTGGCGCTACAATATGCACTTTTCCCTTTTCTTCCCATTTTCGCTTCAATTCGCGCATCTTTATCCCAAATTGCATTCGGATGATTTCTACACATAGAAATACCACAAATCATTATAGTATATATTCGAAATCTACGATAAATGAGCAAAATGCGAGGCAATATACATAAAGATATGCATTCTTTAAGCCAAATATTAGTCATGCAGGGATCAATACAACAAACCAAATGTGTATTACTAATATAGTGGTATAACATATTTGTAATTTATGTATTATTTTATACGAGATAGATTGTGGAATGAAAAATATGTGTTCTAATTATACGAGATAATTAAAGCTATTTAAAACAAAAAATGAGATTTAAAATTGGAATTTCCTTCTTGACAATCTTACATCCAGAACTCTTTATCGGTAAATATTTATCCATGCCAGGTGCTTACACCAAACCAATTTTACTTGCCACGGTCAAGTGATTTCATGAAGTAAAAATATGCATTAATTGACTGTGGAAGTGAATTTGCAAACACATGCCATGCATATATTTATTGATTTGGCGTAAATAATAGCCAGAATTTTCATATGTTAATCACCAAGATTTGCAACAAAACATGGCAACCTCTAAATTTGTTATATGGGAAAGTTCTGGCAATCACTAGGAGCGCTTACCAAATTCTACCCGGATGCTATCTTTCCACGACTTTTCTTACCGGGAAAAAAATTTAAACGGTGGTTCTAAAATTAGCTAATTGATGTTTAATACAGCACAAATTCTTATTGTGATGACTACATTAATAAGTAATCAACAACAACAACAACAACAACCCAGTATAATCCCACAAGTGGGGTCTGGGGAGGGTAATATGTACGCAGACCTTACCCCTACCCCGAAGGGTAGGGAGGCTGTTTCCAGGAGACACTCGGCTCAAAAAAGCAATAGGAGGTGATATATTAGTACCATAAAAATGTGTAATAAAACTAACAACAATATATAAGAGATATGAAATATGAAATACAGGATACGAAATACGAAATACGAAATAGATGGATGGTATAGTACAACTAGAAGGTAAAGCCCTGCATCAATAGACGACCAATGACATTCCTAATCTAACTCCTAACTGGATAGTCTCCCTCTATGTGCTGTAGAAATATTCACACTCTCCCCTAACCTACAACCTTAATGCTCGACCTCCATAGTTCCCTATCAAGGGCCATGTCCTCAGTAATCCTAAGTNGTGGTAGATCGTCCCGGCATGACCCGAACTGGTTGTCTGAAATAGACACCGTCCTTCGCACTCTCATTTCTACCACTCTCTCCCAAACTTTCATGGTATGACTTAGTAATTTGATGCCCCTATAGTTGTTACAGCTCTGGACATCACCTTTGTTCTTATACAACGGGACCATTGTACTCCACCTCCACTCTTCAGGCATTCTATTAGTCTTGAATATAACACTAAACAATGCAGTAAGCCATTCCAAGCCTGCTCTACCCACACACCTCCACAGTTCAACCGGAATTTCGTCTGGCCCGGTAGCTCTGCCCCTTCTCACCTCCACAGTTCAACATTAATAAGTAATCCCAAATAATATAGATGTTAGATTCTACTTACTAATTTGAAAATATCTTATGAGATTTCATGCTCTATTTCAGATTATTTCATGGAAAAATATTTAATGTTTAACCAAAATCAAGTAGATACCAAACAAATCAATCAAATCTCTTTCAATCTTATTAAATTTATATATAGATGACTGCAATTAGGAGTAGTACACAAATATTAACCAAAATCAAGAAAAATAAGCACAACATCATCCTTTTTATGCTAATGGAAAATTTCATCTATATTCATCTTTTGATGTCAATGATTTTCTCAATTCTTTTTGTAGTTTCTGGCAATGAAAAACCAATTTTAGTACCCCTTAACTACACTTCCATTATGCAAACTAGAAATTTTTTTATGTCTATTGATTCATCCAATCTTCCAGATCCCCCAATGCCATCTTATACTTTTACTCTTTACCATCGCGATGTATTTGAAAAATCAAACTTCAAAGACTACGACTCCATGCTCAGAGCTCGTCTTGCTCGAGGGCATACTAGAGCAAGTTATTTGGCTTCGGTTTTTGAAAATGGTAACAATGTTAAAGAAGGGATTGTTCGTGGACGAGCCACAGGGTTAACGACCACACACAGTGCAGAAGGTGAGCTTGTCGCGTCTTTTTTAATTGGTAGCGATTTCAGCAGAAGTTATTTGCTAGTAGACACTGGCACTGATTTGGTTTGGTGGCAATGTGGACCATGTAGTCGATGCTATAAACAAATATATCATCCTATATATAATTCTACTGCATCAAAAACTTTCCAAAAAATTGATTGCACTAAAGATAATTCGAGTTGCATCACTGAGGATCCAGCTTTTAAATGTATTGAAAAAATGCGTTATTGTCGCTATGATATACCATACGCAAGTGGTATCCAATCAGTAGGTTTCATGGCGTCTGAGGTGATTACTTTTACTTCAGACCATAAATCACAGAGGATTATGTTTGGATGTGGAAAAAATCAAAATGGTGGGAAAGTTATGTTTAGTGGTGCATATTCTGGGATTGTTGGCCTTAGTCGTAGAGTAAACCCGAATGATCCAGGTGGATATTCTTTACCATCACAACTTAACGCGACGTTATTTGCTTTTTGTCTACCAAGTTTTGATTCAGGAGAATCATCTATCCTCAGTTTCAATAAAGCCCCGTGGCCAGGAGCAAGAATGGCAAAATTAATACCAAATTACAGGTTACCTCAATTGCATTTTGTCGATCTTTATACAATCTTTATTGATGATAAGGAAGTTCCAGTGAAACCGTCATGGTGGCAATTTGGTAAAAACTTCAATGGTGGAGTCATCGTGGATACAGGGACCATAATTACACATTTTCCTCAAGATTTCTACATCTTATTTCGCGATATATTTAGATCTGAGGTAGAAGATCTTCAAATGGTTGATAATCCAATTGAAGATTTCGACACTTGTTACCAAGACATTGATGGTAGTGAAGTGTACTTTCCTGTTGTGAAGTTGTACTTTGGCAGCAAAAGTCCTGGTTCAATGTTGTTTCTGGCGCAAGAACGAGTTGTACTTCTCATAGGTGATCAGTATTGTCTAGCTTTTAAGGGATGGGATAAAGAATTAACATTATTAGGCTCTAATCAACTCCAAGCAGTAGGATTAACTTTTGATACTTCAGAGAACACTTTGACTTTCGACTTAGATGCATGTGATTGAAGTATACAAAAGTTCAAATTTTAAAAACTTAAAGGTTTATTCCAATTCAATATAAAATGGACTATATATGTTTCATTATTTTCTCTTGCTTTTCTTGTGCACTTTTATGTGCCTTTTGGTTTTATTGAAGACCTTTTATTTTGCTGTCATGTGACCAGGAGGTCACGAGTTCGAGCCATGAAAATAGCATCTTGAAGAAATGCAGGATATGGCTGCGTACGATAGACCCTTATGGTCCGACCCTTCCCCAGACCCCGGACGGGCTGCCCTTTTTTATCTATAGTTTTGGAAGAGATATAGTTTTGTTGTAAACGAACTCTTCCACTTGATGATTATTTCTTTTAAGTCATTGCACCAATTTGACTTTTGGATATGACTTGGCACGCCATGTGATTAGTGGACACATGATAGGGCTGTATTGTGGGTCGGGCCCGCGAGACCACATGCCTAATGGGCCAAACGGTCCGGTTCAAACGGGTCGGTCTCAAATGGTCTTTGAGGCCCACGGTGGGCTGGTCCTACACAAATAACCGCGAGTCCGGGACCGACAAGCGGGCCTGGGCCGGCAACCGGGCCTAACGGGCCCACCGATAATATATTTTCTTTTTTTTTTTAAAAAGACCAACGACTAGAAATTAAAAAAAGTAGCCATTGGCCCTTAATTTCAACAGTTGGGAAGTTTAAAAGAATAGCCATTTGGCCCCCAAACTTTGTTTTAACCTCAAACTTTTTATAATTACACTTTTTCCTATTCTCAACTATAAATACCCCCTCATTTTTTTATTTTTACTCACAAATTCATCAATCTCTCTAAATCTCTCTCTAATTTTCTTCTATAATTGCTTACTTTATTATTGCAATTTAGTGAAAAATTGTGAGGTTGGTGAATTGAAGTATTCAAGTCTTCAACGATATTCAATTTTCAAGAAGCTGTTCGTCAATTCGGTAAACTCGTTCCAACTCTTAAGTTTTAATTTTATAGTTTTGTGTGTTTTATTTAGTATAATTATAATTAATATGGACTTTTCTTTGAAAAAAAATATTTGGGGGTAAGGGTAAGGGAAAATCTAAAATTGGTGAATCTAGTCGCCAAGCTACTACTCTTCCCCCGGCTCCCCGACCCAGACCTGTTACCCGTCCTCCTCCACCTGTTATTCTTGATAGTGATAACCCTTGTTTTCAATTTTCCGATAGTCAATTTTGCCATGATGTTGCACCAGGTCAACAATTAAATGAAGAAGTTATGAATGCTCTTTATACTAATCAAACTATCTTTGAAAATGTAGAGGAAAATGATGATTTAGATGAAACGCAACCGAATTTAGATGATACACCTACTAGTCCTGTTAATAACCCAACTGATGCCCTGTCTGACCCTCCTGTAGTAACCCCTACTTTTAATAGACAACCTTCTAAACGGCCCGAAACATCTCTTGTTTGGCACTTTTTTACTCAACTAAGAGAACAAAATAAGGCTAAGTATAAAACTTGTGGGTCTTTGATGGCTCATAAATTTACTGGAGACCGTAGCGGTACGGGTAGTTTGGCTAGACAAATAAAGACATAAATAGAGATAAAGCTAGCTATTTACAAATGAAAGCTGCGCAAGAGTGGACAAGTGTAGATAGTACGGTTAACCCTAGTACAGGGTCAAATCTAGTTCAATCGGGAATTAACACTATTACCGGTGGCATTTAATATTTTGATCCAAATAAATATCGTGAAGAATTGGTAAAAATAGTTATTGTTATGTGCTTACCATATAGTTTTCCTTCTAACCCTCATTTTGTGCATTATATTAGAAGAGTTTTTAATCCTACCACCACCACCAACGAAAATTCCTCCGGACCTTGAAGGATTTATGAGATTTGTTAGAAATAATACATAGACTAATATGTANATAGATATAAGCTATATATTATATAAGGCAATATATAATTATATATACATACTATATATAAATATATAGCTATTTATAAGCAATTTATATTAGTATATACATATATAGTTTACAAGAAATTGCCTTAGATAAAAAAAATTCAAAAACAAAATAGCCCGAAACGAAAAAGCCCGTTTAGGCCCGTGGGCCCGACCCATTTAGCCCGGGACCATGTGGGCTTAGGACCAGAGTGGGCCGGTCTCACCCATTTGCACCGTTAGGCCCGAGACCGTTTGGCCCAGCCCGTTTGGGCCCGGGCCCGTCCCACAATACATCCTTAACACATGATATGAATTTGGACCTTAAGATAAAATAATGTTCAATATTGACTAAATCTTTTTTGCGCCACTCGTATTCTATGATAGTGAAATTCTATTACCATTACGTCTTGCAAGGCATTACTCGTTCTAAAACAGGGTAGCCCGGTGCTCTAAGCTTCTGTTGTGCGCAGGTCCGGAAAGGGTCGGATCACAAGGGTCTATCGTACGCAACCTTACCCTGCATTCTATAAGAGGTTGCTTCTACGTCTCGAAGCTGTGACCTTGTCACGACCCTAAATCCAGATTCGACCGTGATGGCGCCCCTCGTGAAGACAACGCCAGCCAACTATTCCCAATTCGACGTTAAATAGTTAAACAACAAGAAAATAGTCTAAAACATGATTTAATAATACTAATTAACATGTAATATCATTAAAATGCGGAAGTACAACCCAACACAACCCGATACCGGGGTGTCACTAGTCATGAGCATCTATAAAACCTAATACAAGTCTGAAAAGTCTGCAAACTATTACAAATGTCTGATAAGAGATAGAAATGATAAAGAGGGAGAAATACGGTACTGCGGACGTCAAGCAGCTACCTCGTGGACTCCGATATTTGTCGGGAGCTCTCAACTCGCACTGGCATGATCCGCAACGCCTGATTCTGCACACAAGGGTGCAGGGAGTAAAGTGAGTACTCCAACTTAGTGAGTAACGGATGTAAATAAAGTCTGAAAGGAAGAAATCACGTAAGGCACAAAGCATTCTATAATGAAGCAGTAAAGTTATTTAAAAATAGAAAATCAGTGAAAGATAGGTAAAATCCTTTAACTCAAGTTTAACTTCATGAAAAGCCTTTCTCAATAATTAAGTAGGTAATTGACAGTCAATTATGAAAAGTAAACACATAAAGGCTCGCTCCTCGGGCATAGTATCAATAAATCCACCCCTCAGGCAACATCTCAGAACAGTACCAGCCCCTCGGGCAATCACATAGAACAATACCAGCCCCTCGGGCTCAATCTCACATCACAATGGGTACCCCCGCTCACTGGGGGTGTACAGACTCCTGGAGGGGCCCCTTACGGCCCAAGCGCAATAACAAGCTATCTTGTGGCATCAACACTAGGCCCTCGACCTCATATCAATCAAGCCACCTCGTGGCGTACATATCTGAGGCCCTCGGCTTCAAATCAATATCAGTGTTTCTTCACAACATAGGCCCTCGATCTTACTCAGTCAAAATCCTCACAAGCCACTCGGCAGCAGTAAAAACAGTGTTTCTCAGCCCAAACATCATTTAAAATATCATTTAAGTAATAAAACTGAGTAAACATGGCTGAGTATGAAAACAGTGGGAAAATAGCATGACTGAGTTCAAATATAAAGTCAAACAGTGAGGAAATATCAGTAAAAAAGCCCTGAAGGGTTCAAACTGTTGGCACGAAGCCCAAATATGGCATTCAGCCCAAATAATGATGATACCAAATAGTTTTCAATCAAATACGCGGTAAAATCATCAATCGGGATGGACCAAGTCACAATCCCTAATAGTGCACGACTCCACACTCGTCATCAAGCGTGTGTCTCACCTCAATATAGCACTACGATGTGCAAATCTGGGGTTTCAAACCCTCAGAATATCATTTACAATCATTATTCACCTCGAACCGGCTAAATCTCTAGCTCACGATGCCTTTGCCCCTCAAATCGGCCTCCATGCGCGTCGAATCTATCCAAAATCAGAACAAGGACGTCAAAATATACTAAGGGAATGAAGCCCAAGCGAAAACAATAAATAAATGGCACAAATCCCGAAATTACCAAAACCCGACCCCCGAGCCCACATCTCAAAATTCGATAAGAGTTACATCACCGGAATCCCTATCCTCCCACAAGTCTATACATATCAAGAACATTGAAATTGGAGTCCAAATGACCCCTCAAATCCTCATTTAAAGTCTCTTAATCTCAAGCCCTAATTTCTCAATTTTAGGCTTAGATTCCATGATTTATTAGGTAGATTTCACAATAGAATCGAGTTTTAAGTCCAAAATTCTTACCTACAAATATTTCCCCTTGAATCCCTCTTCAATCTCCTTCAAAAAGCTCCAAAAATGACAAACTATGGAGGAAATAAACCCCACATTCACGGACAAGACGACCTTAAAAACTTTCTGCCCAGGCATTAATTCCTTCTTCGCGAACGCGGTCAATGCCTCACGTTCGCGAAGCACAAAAATAACTTTGACTAAAATCCTCTTACGCGAACGCAACAAGACCCTCGCAAACGCGATGGTTCCTCAAACTTACCCTTCGCGAACGCATACCCTCTCTCGCGAACACGATGAACAAACTCGACCTCAGACCTAGCTGACCAAAAGACTCTATGTGGACGCGTCTCCTTTCTCGCGAACATGATGCACGAGCATGCAGCCCTTCGCGAACGCAAAGGATAAAATTCCACTAAATTCCACTGACTCTTCACGAACACGAGGGTCCACTCGCGAACGTGAAGAGTAAAAACCTGCAACAGCTGAACCTGCAATTTCTGCAACTCCAAACTTCACGAAATGGTCCGATTAACCACCTGAAACTCACCCGAGGCCCCCGGGACCTCAACCAAAGGAACAAACATAACCCAAAACCTTATTAAAACTTGTACCAATCTACAAAACACCTCAAACAACATCAAATCAACCAAAACACATTGGATTCAAGCCTAAATTTCCAAAATATTCCGAATTCCGCTTTTGATAAAAAAACTCAACCAAACTGCGTCCGAATGACCTAAAA